CCTTAATGTATCTATTCTTGTATTTGTTTTGTATATTTTTTGTATCTGTGTTTTCCAACAGCCATGCACATCCCACAAAGTTATTGTCACGCAACCATTGTCAAACAATAATCCTCAGGCCCTGTTGGCCATGTATTGATCTTTAGATCTGTATTATAAAACTCCGAGGCAGCCTCACGGGGCCCCAGGGAGTTGTTATCCTAGATAGGGAGAGGCGTGGACACACGCTGTTTACCTATGTTAAACACCAGGCGTCCCCGTCCTCCGTCACCTGTCACCTGTAAACAAGCAATGGCCGCCATCAAAAAAATTATTAGGCTTAGCGGCACTTAAACAACTTTAAAATTGTTGATAATTCTAAAAATATTGCATAAAGATTTACTAAAGGCATAAAAACCTTAACCGGAAGATAAGAACAACATAATTCAATCATTTTTAAACCAAAAAATGTACAATTTACAAATATATAAGAGTAAAGAAACTGAGATCACTGAGCCGGGTAAGAGAGTGGGTATATATATAAATATATTTATATACGTTTGGTGCGGCCGATAGCAACCAAAATATGAGGTGCACATCTACATGTTATAGCAGTCCTATACACAAAATTTCAACGTTCTGAGGCTACTCGTTTTTGAGTTATGCGAGATACGTACATACGTTCGTACAGACGCCACGAAAAATTCTCTTCAGAATTAATTTTAAAGCAGTTTTATAATTTTTTTTTAGAGGAAATGAGTCGTTTATTCTGTCCTTACGTACAGATATCACGCAAAAACATCGTTAAATTGCATTCGATAGAGGTTAAAAAGGATATTTTCGTTGAAATATGCTGCTTGAAACTTTTCGCGATTACAATACTTCCTTTTTACTTCGTACAAGGAAGTAAAAAAGGAATGTTTATATTTTGGCTATTTTCGCATTACGTGACCTGGAGCAAATGCTCCGTTTTAAGAATGACTCATGCCATTAGTCTCAAAACTATAATAATAATGTAAACAGCAATTTATATTTTCTCTCAAAAAATGATGTACTTTTTTAGACGCCGAAATAAAATGCATTTTCAGAGCAGCCCGTAAAGAGTTTTGCCTGGGATAGGTCTGCTCTAAAACATTTAAATCCTCTACTTAAATACTCAAGAATTAGTTTGCATTGTGATGAGGACTAGGGAAAGAAGTTGTAGGAACGGTTTAAATCATAAAAATTGGTTAATTAACCCAAAATCCTACAAAGTATTGATCAAAAAGCCATCAGAAGTTTTACGAAATTGAGGATAAAACTGAAAAACTGTCAATGAACAATAAAAAACAAACGTGAATAGAACTGTTAAAAGCTTCATGGAGTACGCAATTATAAAATTATTTTATAAAATAATTGAATAATAAATTTCAAATTTGGAAATACTCCTATTTTTAATGTTTAATTATCATTTAGTTAATAATTATTAGAATAGGTTTTAGTTATACCCTCACAGAGAAGTTTAAAATTGCTCAGCTGCATAATAACACAAAAAAATCTGATGTGTACACCACATGACTTCCTTGTACGGAATATTAAATTATACGCATTTTTCTTGCATTTCATTTAAACTTATTGGATTGAATTAAATCTACTTCGCCGACACCGCGTAAACACAATAGAAATAAATGCATTCTTTAAAATTTACTCTAGTATTTGTTTACCATAGCTACACTCTCGCGCTAGATTCACTTAACAGTATTATATTTCGTTCATATTATAACTCATAATGCACAAAATTTATATCATTTAAAGAATAGAATTATCTAATCGTTGCCATATGTTCTATTCAAATACTATAAAAAAGCTAGAATGATGTATAAAAGACATTAAGGAAAAAAACAAAAAAGAAACAGTTTTTCACAGACGATTGAGTATTTCTCATTAATTCAGTTCTCCCTTCGCGAGAAGGCAAAAATATATAAAAACTCAAAATATAGATATTTATAAATTTTAATATAGATATTCCAGAAAGGATTTATCATGATTTAATGGCAATAATAAATGAAGGCGTTATCTTTGTTCTTACGAAGCTAAGTTTCTCTAGATTGTCAACAAATCCACTAGTCTGCTGTTTCAAATGTAAACAATCAATAGCCGCCGTAAAAAAAAAAAAAAAAAAAAAAAAAAAAAAAAAGGCTTAGCGGCATTTAAACAACTTTAAAATTGTTGATAATTCTAAAAATATTGCACACAGATTTTCTAAAGGCATAAAAACCTTAACCGGAAGATAAAAGCAACATAATTCATTCATTTTTAAAGCAAAAAAATGTACAATTTACAAACATATGTAAATTGTACATTTTTTTTTCTTTAAAAATGATTGAATTATGTAAAAATCTGAGATCACTGAGCCGGGGAAAAGAGTGGATATATATATAAATATATTTATATACGTTTGGTGCGGCCGATTGCAACCAAAATACGAGGTGCACATCTACATGTTATAGCAGTCCTATATACAAAATTTCAACGTTCTGAGGCTTCTCGTTTTTGAGTTATGCGAGATACGTACGTACGTACGTTCGTACAGACGCCACGAAAAATTCTCTTCAGAATTAATTTTAAATTCAGTTTTATAATTTTTTGGAGGAAACGAGTCTTTTATTCTGTCCTTACGTACAGATATCACGCAAAAACTTCGTTAAATTGCATTCGATAGCGGTCAAAAAGGATATTTTCGTTGAAATATGCTGCCTGAAACTTTTCGCGATTACAATACTTCCTTTTTACTTCGTACAAGGAAGTAAAAAAGTGTAGTCAGCATAAAAGCTTATTTGCTTGTCACGTGGATAACGCATTAGCAAAGATTAATATAAACAACACATTTATATATTAGTCCAAAGGGGCAATTTGTCCGAAGGGACTATTAATTTCGTTTTGGCGTTTTGCGTCGATTAACGATAAGCGTTGTTTCACTTTTCAAGTTATTGCCACCAAATATTATCGCCTTGTATCATATTTAAAGAAATTAAATAATGAAGAATCTGCATGAATGTACATGTGTTTCTCGCATTGTGATAAAACAACATTACCTAGAGCCATCAAAATTTGAATAACGTAATCTTCCATAGAATATGGGCATGTGGAAGTCCTAATTTGAATTTTAAATTTGTTTTATTATCGATTTCATATTTTGTAACACTTCAACGAATTTTTAATTAACAAAGCAAATGATTTCAAAGCGAGTAATGGCAACACTGTAGGGAAAACAATTTGGGGAAAGTGCAAAATCGCCCACTGCTTGGCGCGTTTTTAAGAATTGCGCACACTCGGTATTCATGTGCACATTGACCTATTTTCACTTAAACAGTCAAAGAAAATTGACAAAAATTCAATTCTTCTTACTCTTGTAAAAAGCGCCAAACAAACACCAATGAAATAAGTGGGCGATTCTGCACTTCAGCCAAAAAATTTTTTTATCTCCAACCCGCGAAACTCTGTATCGGAAATTCTAAAGATATGCTCATTTTAAAAGTATTTTGTGATATTGCTATTGAACTGAATTTTATGGTTTAAGTGCGAATAACATGATATTTAATAAATAAAGATAACACACGAAATGTTAAAAAAACGCCCCTTTGGATTTAATTTAAAATCTGAAACCTTTCAGATTTTTCTTTCTTTATTTTTTAAAATTATGGAAAATATGGTGGTTTCACTACAATAACACCACTGGAACTATAAGCTTGATTTATTTTTGATGATACTGCAGAGAACAGTTCGCTCAGGTAGAGTCCAGACAGAGACATACGTCGTAAATTGTGCACTGCCATTTTGTTCGATGGTGTTAAACTTTTTACTGCATAAAACACATCGGAAAGATGTCCCTTATATCGGCACATGCGCTTCTTCTTATCAGCAAATCTCATATGGAACAAGACATCTGTATTTTCTGGCAGATAAGCCGATGTCTTCAGTTTTTGGCTCAGCTTTTCAACGTTTTCGCAGTACTAGTAATCCTCTCGCTATAAAAACCTCGAAAATTTCTCAGTTTAAGGACAGACCTTCACTCCTTCTAGAGATTTTATAGAATACAGAATAGGGGTTTCAATGTTAGACCATCGGGAGCAAAATAAGTTGCATTCGCTTCCAGTTAACATGTTTATGAACGCATTTAAAGTGTAATTTTATTCCCTTCTCGTGTAATACTCTTAAATTGTGACGTACCTCTATTTATGTTAAGTGTTAAGGCAACAAGAATTAGTATAGTATTCATAAATTCGCAGTTCCATACTTAAAAATCCCATTCCAGAAAGAAAGCCTTGAAATTCCGCTCTATGGGAGCAAGAGATAAGAAAAAAACAAACACATAATATCTCATTTACCCAAAACCTTTGGTCAGAAAATCACATTTTCCATTTTTCTGCATCCAATATTATTCAAGAAATATCTTCTATTGGCGAATCAGATTTTCTACAGGCGTTACACATTCATAAAAATCTTTCAATTCCAGTAAACTATACTAAGTCTGCTCCATCTTTACCCTCAACTTTTGAGGAAATTATATCTCAGTTGATTTCATTTTTCATCGTGAGGGATGGCACCAGTAACTTGACTTCCACCCATTGTATCGCTTGAGAATAGGATTCTCCCTTGTCCTTTGCACTTCTGCTGCTGAAGAAGCAGATTTTATATTTCAACCTTAGAAACTAGTCCTGGAAATTTATGATATTTTAAATATATTACGTGCTCCGCCATTAGGTACTACATGAAAGGGGAGGGACACCACGTGGGGGCTTTCTAAGTGAAAATGGCTCGTATTTACGTTACACATGGGAAAATCGGCGAAAACGCTCATGCAGCCAAATCAATCGCCAGTACTCGAATCCCGGACCGAACTACCAATGTTCCGCGGCTTTTGCCTCTCAGCCGCGGGTGGGCAAATTTGTGAATATCACGCTTATTCTTGTTCCCTTAACACTTCCAATAATCGTTATTCGACGTGTTTTTCTAAAGTCAGGTATTTCTGTTGTTAACAGTACTTTTGGTCTGTCGGCACAATCTGCGTCATACTCATGACATGGGTGATCATGGAATATTTGAACAACTGGAGAGTTCTCATAGCCGCTGCTTCCCTACCTGCGTTTATAGTCATCATTTCTCTCAAGGTATGTCTGTAACCAGAATTTCTTAAATCCGTCTTCGATAATTAAAAAACTTTTACTTTTCAAGCTAATTAAATCGAAATACAAATAATTTCAAATTTGATTTCTTAATGAATATTAGCATTTTTTAATACCAGAGAAGATCATTGTTGGCACCTTAAAGAAAACTTATAAGGTGCGAATAAAAATTCCCAATTAAAGGGCCGAATTCAATACGGCTACAAAAATATTTTATTTTTAGAAAATGGAAAATACTTTTACAATAGGCCGATTTAAGAAAGTCGAGTTTGATTTGACCTGGCAAGATAGGTATTTTATCACTGTCAGTTCATTTCGCAGCTCGTTTATGTCTCTCTTTCCAAACAGTGGTATCCAGAAAGCGCCAGATACTATCTGGTAAGCAACCAGCACGAGGAAGCGAGGAAGATTTTGGAGAAGATGGCCACCATGAATGGATCACAGCTACCCTACGGCCGTCTCATCGAGGTGTCGCAGTGCAGAAAAAGAGGAAGGATCTCGGACCTGCTCGGCAAAGACTACAGGAGACAAACTCTCCTCTTTTGGTACATTTGGTAAGTGAATGTTCCATTAATTTTGCTGTTTTGGATGACGTTGCTAGTCAGGACAGTATCATTCAGTTACGGTAGGTGCCACTCAATGTGATCCCGTTTATCGGCTTCTGCTTTGATAATATTAACTAAATCATAACATTACCCGGTGAAAGAATTTCCTTTCAGAAATACTATGGATTTTAAATAATTTAATATAAATATAACCAGATATATATAAATAGATATTTTCAAAGCATTTTCGGTATAGGAAACTCCGAAGTTTGCTTATAAATCGTTTGTAACGCTTCTGAAAATTTTTTGACTGATGTGTTCCTTCATTGGAAAAGAACTTGTCGATGCAGTGTTTAAAATTGAGCAAAAAAAACCCACAAATAACACACAAAACACACACACACACAAAAGGCAATTTAGTTTTTTTTTAAAGAATTTTTATTTCAGGGAGAAAAATTATGTATATACATTTTTACTTCTGGGAAAGAGAAACCTGAGAGAAAACCGCTCTGAAAATCAATACAGTTATTGAAAATCTACATCAAACTAACTAACCTTTTTCTTTTCTGTTTCTTGGACTAATTTTAAATGATTTATTAAGATCGAAACCAAGCTGTTTGGTGACATGTCTTTTTCATTTGGCAATTTTTATAATATACTTTGACCTTATTTGGCGTCTTTAGTTTAAAACATCTAATCTATAATATTTTGATCATGTTAACCGAACTGTTTATTATAATAAGCGATGTAGTTTCAGTATTTTCGAATACAAATGAGGGGGATTTCGGCAATTCGATAACAATATCCGAATGATAACATTAACTGCAATTACATTAAGCGGCGTCTGTTGTAATGATAAAAAAAGAAATGCTTCGGGTTGTTAGATCATGGCAAATTACTCTGGGGTGAGTATTAGCGTATGATAAATGACGTCTTTATAGAAAAAGGAAACTAACAAGTTTAAGAAGACAGCGTTTAAATCGTATGTGAGAGAAAAGCAGAAATCCTTTTGCAACTAGACCTTACAGGAAATAAAACCCAAGGCGAACTCTCAGTCATTTTCCCCTTTAGCGAATCGGCCGCTGTCCTATTAGTAAATCACATTCTAGTTTGTTACTTTGTAGAGACATTAGGTAATTTTGGGGAGCAGAAGAGATGAAAATTAGCAACGTCTTCGCCAGGAATCGGACCAAAAACGACCCAGCGTGCACAACCACTACACCACGAAGCCGCGCTAGGAAAGTGGGAGAAATACCTTATAACTTTAAAATAGGTACTTCATGGGGATCCCTCCATCCGCTACCTATCGTAATTCATGTCGATTTATTTTCTTCACCTCATTTTGAGACTGTGGCTGAAGTTAGACTTCCTACATGTGCTTTTCATGGACCAAAATGCGCTAAATTGAAAAATTAAAGAAAAGAAATTTTAAGTGATTCGGTTTTTTTACCACAGCTTTTGTACTCATGGTTACGAATCAAATCGGGCGATGAAAAATAACGTTGAAGTGGCTATTTAAAATAAGAGTTTGTTTTCGTGTGGTTTAGTTATAGTGGGTTCGTGTTCAGTTTCCGGAAGAAACAAACGGAAAGGGCAGAAAAACTTAACTCTTTATTTCACTTGCAAAATGACAGCAACTACAGCAGATGCCACTTCTTGAGGCGGCAGTTAATATTATCATTGCGATATAGTTACGAAATTACAGAAGCCCCGCCCGTTTATATCCAAAAACATGGACAATATATCACGTATTGTAATCAACAATTCGGTTAGTATGATCAAACTAACGTCTCCGTGCTTTGAATTTTTACAGGCTATTCTAAAACACAGTCTTCAGAACAAAGTTCTGAATGTTGTAATACCACTGTGAATTTTCTCCCAATTTCTCTCTCTGTAAGCGCTACTAATTGTGAAAATAATTTTCTAAATAAAAGTAATTTACAAAATATTTTAGAGCTGTAAATGCTTATTTTGAATTGAAGAAGTATTTTAAAACTAAAGTGTTTATTCTGTATATAAGAAATCTTTCTATACTGCTGGAATTAAATTTTTTCTTAAAACACAAATAAACGCAGAATTTAAATTCATTTCTTGCTATGTCATTTTTACATTTTTTAGTTATTTGTTTGTATATCAAGAGGCGTGACAAATTCAGTGCCGCCTGGAATTGCGAAATCACTAGCTATGCCACTTTACCAAATAATAGAAAAAGTTCTAAATTATGCTTGTCTATAATTCTATGCAGTTTACTCGGCATTGTAACTGAAAATGGTCATTGGTGAGCTTTGCTTTGTTTTCTTGTAAATGAAGATATAAATTCAATCCATGCAAATATAAATAACCATAAAATGAGGGATTATTTACACTCTTTTTTTTAGCATTATATTTGTGCCATCTGATTTAAACCGCCTTCAGAAAATTTCAAATTTCTGTTCTCTTTCAGGCTGGCTGTAGCGTTTGCTTATTATGGTATTGCTCTTATCAGTCCTATCGTCATTCAGAAGGGAAGCCTCCTAGCAGGTAAGCTAAAAGCTGTCCCAATAAAAGCGCAAAATTTTAATTTAAAAAAAGGTTTTGGGGGAATACCATAAAAAATACATCTTGGCCTTATGTAGGAAACAACACATCTGATAAATGCCGCTCATCAGCTTTACTGGAACATTTGCATTCTTTCGACAAAATATCTTCAATCAGGTTTGGTATAACTGTGACTGAATTACGATGGTACAGTGTATATTTACTCTACGCCTTCAAGATTTGAATGATCGTGAACTTGTTGGCATAAACATTTCATATGAAATGCTGAACTATAAAACCGGAAAGAACGAAGTCCAAAGGTCCAGGAGCCCAATCGTACGATATAGGGTCCCAGTTCTGGTCGCCCAAACGGAGATTGCATGACCAAAGAATATCCAGTAGCAAGCGACGCGGTCTTGCTACAGTCACATGTCTTCAAGATCCATACCATCCGTTTGAGGCACAAAGAACTGGGTTGCCCAATCCCAATATGTTTTGCCGTTTACTATTCGTGCATGCCCAATAGTTTCTTTGAAGAAAAATGGTCCAATGAAGCCTCCAGACCCAAACCCACACACAGCAGTGACACGTTTGGGATGGATTTCCTTCTTGTGAAACACATGTGGTTTTCGTCATTCCAAAGACAGTAATTTTGCTTGTCCACGAAGTAATTAACATGAAAATGGGCCTCATCGCTAAAGATGGTTTTGTTTGAAAATTCACAGAATTGAATGATCAAGATTTGAATGATCGTGAACTTGTTGGCATAAACATTTCATATGAAATGCTGAACTATAAAACCGGAAAGAACGAAGTCCAAAGAAATTCACATTCATTGAAGAAAATTCACATTCATTGAACTTTTGTTCAGTGAAATAGGCTTCAGTTGTTGACTCAAATGAGTTTTGTAGGCATGAAGATGCAGATCTTTCGCAAGAATTGTATTTCAGATGGCAACGCAGGTTATAAAATTAGGAATATTTAAGAATAAAGATGTTAGTAAGACAGTGTAGTTAATGACCTAGGTCGTTGCCTGCAAACTTCTTTAGCTGGCAGACACAAGGCTGTCTCAAGCCATTATGAATACTTCTACAATGAGATTACATTACAAAACGTACCCTATGCATGGTCATAAATATCAATACAATAGAAATACCCTTCAAGATAATCATGACACGTTTACTTGTATTAAGAAATGAGCCACAGCCTCATTTGATGGCCTATTGAGAATATTCATGAAATTTTAAAGCATCCATCTTGATTTTGAACTGCTACTGGGACTTATTTTTCTGAATCAAAATTTGTTTGATTACAAATTAAATAGAGTTTGAATAGCTGCCGTGCATAAGAGGCACACGTTAACACTTCATTTCCGTTTACAATTCAAAAAGACTCACAGTGGCATCAGCGTTTCAAATAGTTTTCCCAAATTAAACGGGAAAATCAGCTTTTCAATATATAATCAAATATTCCGTTGGTTTTAAAGAAAAGAAATGCATAATTAATTCATTGTTACATTCTTCGATAGTAGCACATTTCTTCTCCATATCCATGAATATCTTATGCTTTAATGAAAGAAAAGAGAGACTCGACCACATCCCCAAAAGTTGTTGTATATAATTGTATATGATTGTGGTGTATAATTCTATATTGATCGTTGTATATAATTTTTATGAGGTTTTAAAAACACGATATTCTCAAATTTACATCATAAAAATTTGCCATTGATTCCTCTCTCTATCCATATTTGAAAAGCAGATGAATGAAAAATTCTTAAGTCGATTAAGCTATTCTTTATTCCGGTAATTATATTATTGTTGCAGCAGATAATATAATAGCAAAATATAATGCTTCCGGAAAAATGTAAATACAGAAACCAAACGCATTATTGTGACCACTGTTTGATACCTCGCATATTACACTCAATTTTTACTACGAAAAACTTATGAAGTCCTAACTTACAACAGATATTTGTGCCCACATAAGCAACAGGGCGCCCAGAAGTAATTTTGAATAAAGACATTACAAAGATGTACTTGCCTAACATGTCGATAAAATTCATTCAACACATATTCAGTTAAGTAGAATTACATATCCAAAGAAACAAAGACTGCTGCATATTCATTATATCATTCATGGAGTTTTATTGCACGGTGGACATATATTATCGTGCTTATCATGCATGTTGCTATCATTAAGATACCATTTCTCACCGAGCGAATTCGCTGCAAGTCCGTTGGTTGTTCCTTCAGTTTAGGCTTTTAAATCCACACATGGTTAATCCTTGTTGTAATTTCGATAATCAAATTAAAAAAAATCCGAGCGGTAAAGTCGCTAAACACTGGTAGTTCGGTCCGAGGTTCGAATCCCGCGAACGGGCTGGCTGCATGGGCGTTTTCGTGGATTTCCCCATGTGTAACGTGTATACGAGCCAGTTTCCATTAGAAAGTCCTCCACGAAGGCACCCCTCCCCTTAGGCAGATAGCCCTCGTGTGCTTTGCCATAATTAAATACACCAAACACCAAACACCAAATTCAAAAAATTCGATTCTAGTTTATCACTTTATACGCCTTCAGCAGTGATGTACATAAGTTCCTTACTTAGTTTGATTCCACATAATAAATTTCCAATTATATAACTTATAATTTTAATACACTTTCTCAACAGACATAATTTACATTATTTCAAACATCATTATCATATTGTTTAGTCATATATATTTTGATCTTGTTTATATTGCTTTTTTAATTATTGACATGTTTTGATCATAATGTCTTCCTAAGTAAATGTACGCATTAACTTTTGTGTATCAAGATGACTTTGTTGGAAAATCCAACTTGAATGCACATATGTAATGGAGCAGCTGAAAGAAGGAGCGGGTCGCTGCAGGCGGTACATTTTAAGCAGCGGCAATTTTTGCTTGAAATGTTATTTTATAGGGGTTAGTCAGATGTATCCATGAGATGAAGAATAATTATATTCTAATTTGTAATACGAAATCAAATTAAGAAGAAAAAGAGTTCAAAGAAATCGCCTCGTGATTTCAGCAACTATTTATTCTTGTTGCACCTTTTTTATTCTGTTGGAATGTTTCAATGCAGTTTTGAATATCAATTAAATTATGATCACGATGACATTCATAAGGAAGAATTCCTGGCTAAGTAAGAAATATTTAAGAGTTTTATTTTCATTATTGTTAAGAAATTCAAAACAGGAACATGGGGAAAAAAAGAATGTCTCCTTTTAAATTTTTGCATTTCATTCTAAAATACAATCTTCAGAAACAAGGTTCCAGATACTATAATACTAATGCGATTTTTCCTCTCAGTTGCTAGTTAAAAGAAGAGTTTTCTATATAAATATTACTTCAGAAATATTTGAGAACTACAAATGTATATTTTGCATTTAAGAATTCTTTTCCTTTTGTCAGCAAATGAAGCAATCAAATAGATCTTTACAACGTCATCGATGGTTTGCGCTAACCAAATAGTAAGCAAAATAATAATGTATTATTAAGATGCTGATATTAATTTTTTTTAAAGTAAACACAAATCGAGTTTTAATTTATTTCCCTACATGGTGCTTCTATATTTTTTGCAGTTATTTGTTTGTGTATCAAGAGGGGCGACAAATTTAAAGAACCACCCAGGCTGCAAACTTGTGGGCTGCTCCTCGCGGCAGCTTTCTTCTGATTTGTCAAGATGACGTGGCCTTCTCTTAAGCATCACATATTATCATTATGACTGTGTAGCTATATAAGGTATTTTCTCCCTAATTCCCGCATGATTTCGTGGTGTAATTTTAAGCATACCCGACGCTTATTTGAAAGGTCCAGTGTTCGAGTCCCAGCGATGTCACTGCACAATTTTCACGTCTCCTGCTTAAAAAAAAAAATAATGTATCTGCAAATGGCGCCCGAACTAAAAGGTTGAGGATGATAAATCGTTACCACCAGGATTTGGTGAATGGGTTCCCTAATCCCCAGTCCCCCTTTAAAAGGGGGAATATATGAAATATTTTCTCCCGCCTCCAGTATGCCTTTGTGATGTAATGGTAGCTCACTTGAAGCGCATTCTAGAGGCCCAGGGTTCGGTCCCCGGCGATGGCATTGCACATTTTCCGCATCTCGTTTATAAAAAAACGTAATGACTCTACAGCCATATTATGTGTTGTCAAACTCATTGCACTCATGCTACCGTCCTAGCACATCATAGCCCTAAACATCTTCCATCGAGTTCCACCACTAAACTCCGTATGGCTTACAACCCTGACAAATTTAGCTGTAGCAGCGTCTAATAACTTAAAATGTAAAATAAATATTGAAACTTTACGTGAATAAAAAAAGGTCAAACAAATATAAACGAAATGCAAAACAAAAACAATTGAAGACTCACAAAAAGGTAAATAATATTCAGATCAATTTATAAGAGACTATTTATCCTCACTAGTTTACTGATTTTCCATGTTGAATAACTTCTGTAAGAGCAATAGGCACACAAAATTGACGTGAATCCATACTTCAAATTGGCCCTTCATGAAATGCATCTTTTTGATGATGTCTAATGTTTCTTTTTTTCAGTGGTATAATATTTATGGCACAGCTTCAGTATAGACCAGCCGGAATTTTAAACAATAAATATCACCAAGAGCGGCAATAAATGTTATGATGTGGTAACCCATACTATTCGCCAAACGCAATGTAAACAAGAGGATGGAATTACGGTTACAGCTAATATAGTAGTCAGTTACATTTATTCAATTTCAATACAAATTACCGAGATATCCGTTTACTCAAAGTTTAATGCACGTGCCCTGTATTCTTACTTTTCCGGCATAGATTTCACTTAAATTTGTCTCACGCTGCGTTGCAAGAGGAAATAGAACATTTTAAATTAGAATTCTACTAAAATTGATGTCTAAATACACAATTCGTAACACAGTTATTGGCGATTGTTTAACGCTCAGATACCTTGAATACTATTTTGTATATATTTTTTGGCTACTTTGGAGGTGATATTTTTGCGTTTAGTTATTGTTTGCTCTAAAACTTCTGTTAATGATGTTGTAATTAAGTATCAGGAGATTTTAAAGGAAAATTTAAGGTGGGAGTTATCAAACAAGCGTAAACGTTTGGGAACAGATATTTTATGTATGAATTAACAAGAGAGTATGAACTTTTTAGAGGATTTTTGATGGATTTGGATTATTGAAGGATAACGTTTGTTGTGAAAAATTTAAGATACCATGCTGGTTAGTTAGTCAGAAAAAGTCATCGAGTGAAGAAGTGTAGGGCTGAGAAATCAATTAGGCTAGGATATTGGTTCGCCTGTAGTAAACTCAATTTTTCTGTTTTTTTTTTTTTTTTTTTTTTTTTTGGTACAACGCGAATCAATGGAGTTGGTTATGCGCGAGTTTCTGCAATTCTCCGATTTCTTTTAAGTGAAAGCAGATTACTTAGTATATGAGCAATGCAGAGTTTATTCAATGTCTGATTTTTAAGTGAAAAGACATGGGCAAAGCCAAGGTAGTGCGCAATGCCGAAAATTTGTGCAATTTTCTTACCTTTTTTAAGTGAAAATAGATTGCTGTGTTCATGGGCAGAGCGAATGTAGTGCGCAATGCCGAGGTTGTGCGCGGTGCCTAGTTTGTGCAATTCTCTGGGGGTTTTTTAAGTGAAAATAGATCAATGTGTACATGGTCAGAGCAAATGTAGTGCGCAGAGCCGAGGTTGTTCGCGGTGCCGAGTTTGTGTAATTCTAGGATGTTTTTTAAGTGAAAATAGATCGATGTGTACATGGGCAGAGCCAATGTAATGCGCAATGCCGAGGTTGTGCGCGTTGCCTAGTTTGTGCAATTCTAGGATTTTTTTAAGTGAAAATAGATCGATGTGTACACGGGCAAAGCCAATGTAGTGCGCAATGCCGAGGTTGAGCGCGGTGCCTAGTTTGTGTAATTCTCTGGTGTTTTTTAAGTGAAAATAGATGGCTGTGTACATGGGCAGAGCAAATGTAGTGCGCAATGCCGAGGTTGAGCGCGGTGCCTAGTTTGTGCAATTCTCTGGTGTTTTTTAAGGCGCACTGCCGAGGTTGTACGCGACGCCGTGTTTGTACAATTCTCTGATGAATATGATGTGATTTAGGGATTTAAAAACCTGTTTTTCATTAATGTGAAGTTTAAAATTTTTAGAAAATAAGGAAAATTGTCTAGTTACTGGTATGAAAGGGAATATGTCATTACGTAGCAAAACGTTAATTTGTAAATATGATAAAATTGATATATTCCAGAGTATTATTTTAAATTTTAAAAAATCTTTTTTTATTTGTATAAATGCTGAAGCTTAAAAATCTTTGAAAGTACTGAAGTTGTATGAAATGAAAGTATGAGAGACTGCGACGTTCTTTATCGTTTTAATAATTGGTAGAATTCGCTTACTGTATCATAGTAATTTTAAATATAAGCAATTTATTATACTTATTTTCAGTTAAGCCTAAGCTTAAATGTCAGAAATGTAAATTTAAAGTAAAGAATTTGATGTTAATTTACAATAATAAACACTTTATTATTGTTTTTAAGAGAAAATAGAAAGTACGCGTAGCATAAATGCGAGATTACCATGGACCTTATAAGAAATAGACTAACCCAAACGGGTTTTCTCCCTCGTCTGAGGCGTTGCCGGCTGTCACCTTGATCACATCCGGAGGAGTAGGGACGACTTGCAGAAATTTAACATTGGTTGCCTATTGTAGCGTGTATAATTGTCAAGAAGAAGTTGGTTGTAGCGCCTCATTTCACAAATTAGAATTTCTACATATTTTTATTTTTGAAATTGAGATTAATTTTTTAAAATTTAGCATATTTATCAAGCATAATTAAAGTTCCAAATAATTATAAAGCTATTGCATGCTTTCAGGGCTGGATAGTTTCTTAGCTTTTCCTATGATGCTATAAGGAAATTTGTAACTACTTCTTTTAGAAAATAATATTTTTAATCTAAACTAATAGAAAATTTCAAATACTCATTTTTCTCTTGCAATTTTTATGCTTTTATTGGTGTAAATAAGTAAAAAATACTAAAATATTTAAAAAGAATATTTGAAAGTTTTGTTTAAAATTCTGAATTGTGCTGCTTTTTTAAAATTAAAGATGAGTATTATAGCACAATTTCTATAAAGGAATTTTATTTCAATTATATTTCATAATACATCATAGTGATGAACACTTTTGACTCCTTAAAAATTTTTATACATTTAATTCTAATATTAAAATTAATTTTGCTTGTAATTTATAGTGATTAATTTTTTAAATTTATCTTTAGTTTTGCGTAAGATTTTTTTTATTTACTGTTAATTTAATTTATTAGCCCAAAGCGGCGGTAGCCTAGAAAGGCTGTTAGTTTCGAAGTGGCATTTTGAGTTGTTTTACTATAAATGTCCGTGTCTCCTTGCAAATTGTTAATATTATCGCCTGTATTATATGTAAAGAAATTAAATAATGAAGATTCTACGTGAATACATGTATGTTTCTCGCACTGTGACGAAAACGACAGCATCTAGAGCCATCAAATTTTGAATAACGTAATCCTCCACCCGAACATGGGCATCTGGACGGCCGAATTTCGAATTTCTTTTAATCTATTTCATATTTTGTAAAATTTTAACTAATTTTTGATTCACAAACTCAAGGAATTCAGAGCGAGCACTGTAAGGAAAATAACAGTTTTATCTCCAGTGCGGAAATTCTAAAGAAATGCTGTTTTCAAATGCATGTGGTTTACGGGCGAAGAACATGATATTCAATAAATATAGGTAACACTCAAAACTTTAAAAAAAGGTTCCTTTTGGGCGTAATATAAAATCTGAGTGCTTCTAGATTTTATTTTATCTTTTTTCCCCCTTCATTACGCTCAGAAAATTTTATGCTCCAAATTTTATGAATTATTAAAATAACTAATCCACTTTATTGTTAATAACTTAATGATCATATAATCAAATAAATATGATCGTTTTGTAATGTTATTATAGTTTGGAAAATCACTGCCTGAAAATGTTCATTAAATTTTAAAAAAAATTATCAGATCTTGTTTAATTTTACCTTATTTATTTCAAAGCATCACGTACTATCAATCTTATTTAATTTTTTCGTTATTTTAACGCAAAATTAAGTTCATAAATTTTGTGCCTAGAGTTTTTACCGTTTTACCAAAGTAAAGATGTTTGTACAAGATTACGCGTAAAAAAAATGCGCGAAATGTAGTAAAAAGTGCTTTAATGAGATATATTAAATCCTATTAGGAAAAAACTGTGGCTTTCATAATGTCATCACTATACAACGTATCACATTTAGTAATTTAAAAGAGTTATGTGATACAAACGCCATAGGTTTCAGTGTTAAAGTAAACCAGATCATCCCTACTCTTTCTTGCCGACATGTCGGTGACGCGCTCCCACTGGGTTAGTCTATCTCTTATAAGGTCGATGGAGATTACATTGTGACGTCACAAGCTTATTCCCGCCCGTGTATGGACGTCACATAGCTCCGCCTTCTCAACTTTGTTGATGCAGCCTATTCTATGCTTTTACCAAATTATTTTTTAAGGGTGAAATAGCTAAAGGTTTCTGCTATTGTTTTTTAAATTACATCCTTTTAACCTTAATCATTTTTATTATTCATTTCTTAATATTTCTTTCTCTTAAAATCGTGTACAATAGTCGTAAATTTGTTTCTATTATCCACGATTTCTGGTGAAATCAAGATGGCCGCCATTTTTTGAAACACGGAGTTTTGTCGAAAATCTGGATGGCAACCATTTTTCAAAACAACCTATCTCATGTGCTTTGGCGCCAAAACAAATTCGCCAAACTTTGAAGGTGGGCTATACTGAAGCTGTTCCATATTTATTGCTGTGATATGTTTTCCCGCTTTTCTTTTGAAATTAAAATAGAAGTTAATTTTTTCGATTTTTTTAAACATTAAAAATTATAAGAATTACATTTTTATAGATCAAGGAGCAAATTCCACGCATATTTCATATTTTGATGATTTAGCACAGCGCGTGCAGTGTACAAAGTTCACTCAACAAAACTATATTGATCTGCTCTGGACTAGTGCTGCAGAATTTCCAGGTAAGCGTTGCACATTTTGTTTTAAATTTCGCATTCTTCCATTTGATATTAAGCTTGATTACGATGAATGCAAGAAGTTATCTGCTGGAAATCCATTTTACATATTGTATTTTCCTCGCATATTCCCCCCTCACGTATTTTTACCCTAGGATTTTAGCACCAGGTTCTGAAAAATTAAAAATTATTTGTGTAATTTTTCCCTTATTCACTGCAATCAGAGAAAGAGCTCCCCTAAATTTTAAAATGTATTTATCCACGTATTGATTGTTTTCGTCCGATTAACAAAGACAAACCATTACAAACTATTTGTTAAGGTCACACCGAAACTTTTCCTTTAAACTATTGAACTTTATGGAAGCCTAATACAAAACCCGACCCATCATAGTGAAACAAAATGAGCTGACGTTCATTGAGCCAGCTGTATATTCACCTTCTCTAATCATTTATGGATGATTTGAGGCCTAAGGAGTAGCAGAGAAAGGGAAAGATTCCAGTTATAGGGAAGTAGAAGTGAAACTATGTTATTAGATACTGTAGTGTTAATATTGCTATGTATTATAATTGAAATGTAGGTTTCTTTTAAGGAAATAATATTGCGATAGTTATCAGTAATTTATCCATTGCTACTTTTCATACCTCATGATCTTACTGTAACCGTGTCTTCGGAAATTAAATTATTCGCATAATTTCCCCTCTTGATTTTCGAATGATAAAATTATTAATGAAAAGGGGAACAAATATGTGAGGAACTATAGTATATATGTTTAAGTCAGCATAAGATCTTGATTATCAGATACCCAGTTTAGCTGAGTTTAGATGTTGTGCGAAACGGAGCTGTTTTATTATTGTATTGTAATCTATACAAGCTTTGTTGCGTTGCGTCTATTGTAGAGAAAATCGACGCAAGATTTCTCATAACAATGGCCTTTATTTATTCTATTCTTTAATTTATAATTTTGTTTCATACAGTATATTGAAAGAATTTTCTCTTCGGTTTGTGTACGATCTCTGATCATGATCTCAAATTTTTAAAATAAATATCTTGAACAGTTTTGTGGGATAGGAATTACAAGGTAAATATGATGCAATATATGCAAATATGATGATGATCAGCGAGTGATCTTCTATGCTTTTTAAATAACATTAAATTAATTTATGAAGGTAGTAATTATTTGATTGATTTTTAGACCGTTTTCCGTAGATTTAAGCCGAAGTGGAAATAAAATACAAAAGAGCTTTAGGTGAATAATTGAGCTAGTTGGTAAATAATCCACCCACCTCTCTTGAGATATATAAGCATCAAAATAAAATCCTCTAAAGCGATATCCTTAGCCAATCAATTATATAACAGACGTTCTGAATCAGAGCAGAATTCTCTCCTAGTGGTTATTTCATAATTTTGGAGGGATGCGGGTGGCATTTTATTTAGCAATTAAATATTTAGTTTTAGTTTATGAATATTTTATATACTATTTGTTGTTTAATTTATAAAACACGTTGGAAAACGGCCCAAATCTAGGTAAATGTGTGTATGTATTTTTCAAGTTTTGTAATGGTGAAAGAGATTCATGGGGAAAATAAGTTTGAGAGCCACTGCTATAGAAGGAGACACTTTCCAACCGCGGATATTGAAGGGAATCAATGCGATTTCCGACGAATACCAAAAGCTTTCAAACGTAAGCAGCTGGATCAGAGCAAGGAATTAAGATCAGCAAGGCAGCTCTTTACACATTTGTCACTCTTAAACTTCCTTTCAAACTGCCTTGCGTGGGCTTTAATTTTCATAATTTTCTATCTGAGCAAATATATGCGACCTGAATCAAAAGATAGACAGCCGTGCTTAAATTAAGCTTAACCTATAGTAAAACTAGAACAAATATTCGCAAGGTGTAGGAGGGGCTTGAAAAGGATATCGTAATCTAGAAATTTGTTAAAATTTTTATTTTCTACGTTTTTAGCTGAGAAATTTTCATTCTTCTTTTCAAACTCCTTTTTTAACTATCTCTTTATCTGTTATTTCAAATCCCATTTTTAATTATCTGTGGCAGCTTCGTTTTCACTGCTTTCGAAATAAAGCTGTTCTAGTCAATCACAGTTATGTTTGTAGTATTTTATTATAAGCTTTTGAATGTGTTATTGTAATGGAATATTTATTTTAATTTTCATCAATATATTTCAGGCCTTATTATCTTTACCTTCCTCGTAGAGCACTGCAACCGCAAAGTACTTCTAGGTACATCCTGCGGAATCAGTAGTGTACTTATCTTCCTTTTGCTGCTGAATACACAGTAGTAAGTCCTATATGCATCTCTTCAAATGCTCAAATGCCATTCTTCAAATGCTCAAAATGTATTTGTCATGTTTTCAAAAAAATGTTACCATTGGTGGATACTACTTGCAGTAAATATAACATTTTGGCCGTAATTATAAGACCGTATAAAAATTGAGTTTTGTAACTTTTAAAAAGGAATTTTAAAATTAAAAAAATAATCAAAGGTTTCAGATTTTCACGGTCGCCTAAAGGGATTTGTTAAGATTTTCAGGCTCTCGCTGAGCTCATAGTCTACCACCTTGCTGCTGCACTCACTCCTGCTAGCTAAATTGTTTTAACCAGTTTAGCTTCATTACTTAGCATCGTTTTCTTCGCACTTAGGCCATATACAACTCAACAGAAAAATCACAAAATTTTTAAAAGTTGCATAGCAGCATATGTTTAGAATTTCGGATGCACTGTTAAGTGTTGACATATATATTTTTTTCAAGTATTTTTCTCAGTTTATCGTATCACTGCTGAATTTTTTTAGTAAGATGGCTTGCAAAACATTTTTTTTTCTTTTTATTATTAACGTTCTTGGCTTTATTAAATATCACGTTCTCCGCCACATAAAATTCCATTCAATAGCAAAATCACAAGATATTTAAAAACAGCACACCTTTAAAATTTCCGATAGACAGCCTCACGCATGAGATAAAAATGCTTTATTCAGTGCAATTTTGCCACTGCTCGCTTTCAGATCATGAGCATGTTAATCAAAAGTTAATTAAAGTTTTAGAAAATATGAAAAAGCTAAAAAATAATAAAACAAATTCGAAATTCAAAATTCGGACTTCCAGGTGTTCGAGTGCAAGACTACGTTATTCAAAATTTAATGACTCTAGGTACCATCACTTTTACACAATGCGAGGAATATACGAGTATATAAATATATGTAGTTTCTTCATTATTTTAAATTCTTTAAAAATAATACAGGGTGATAGTATTTGGTGGCAACAATTTGAAAAAAAGGCATGCCGTTTATAATGAATGAACTGACGCAAAATCCTATTTCGAGACTAATTGCCCTTTTGGGGCTAAAATTAGCAAAATAGGCGTCTTTTGAAACATTTGCCTGATGAAATTCTACGGCCAATATTGTGGAATTAAAGTAGTATATGGGTAAAAATAATGTAAATATTTTGCTATGTATACCGAAAACGTTTTATTATAAGAATTTTATAAATACATAAAGCATATACAGGTTTTTTGGAGAAGTCAAACAACAAGAATCAGCGTAATATTTGTATATTTTGCAGAATTTGCAAATTTACTGCAAAATTTACAAATATTACGCTGATTCTTGTTGTTTGACTTCTCCAGTAATCATTATTCGGCGTATTATTCTAACCTAAAATACACAGGTTTATTAAAAAATTTTTAACATTTTGTGGGAAATGCGTGTAACAGTATAGAACGTAGAAACATACCGTTTATCCAATATTAAAAAAATTTATATGATGATGTTGTCCACGTGCTTGCTATCACTGTCCACACATTTTTGGAACCAGTTCCCTGTAGCCTGTAGACCAAGAGTCTACAGGCATTAAACGGAATGCCTAGTTGTATAGTATCTATAACAGCTTTAATTTTTTACTGTATTTTTCTTAAACTGTGGGTCACGACCTCCAAGGGAGTCCCGGAACCTGCAGCAGGGGGTTGTCAAAACGTTTAGCAGTTTTGATATTTCTTTAACTTATTATAATAATTTTACAATTACCAAATATTTTTACACAATGTATCTGAAAATAGATAAAGATAAGACAATATAGACAAAGAAAAAAAAAACGAAAACTTTTCGACGCATTCTTTTTATAATATAAACATTCATATTCCTTGCTTTGCTCGTGACGCTGTCATTTCGTCTGCTACTTATTTAAAATTTTCCCATTGTTCTATAAAATTAGAAATTAAAGTTAATGACCTAAAACTGCAATAGTATATTACAGTACAAGTGGAAAAATTGACAATTTCACTCACGCGTGTGTCAGATTTGCTCAATACTTATGGGATCCCACAAAATTTTTGTAAATATTATGGGGTCGCGAAAAACTCTCAGTGATAAAAAGGGGTCGCGACTGAAAAAGTTTAAGAAACTCTGCTGTAGATCATTAGCATTATTGCATAAACATGTATTTTCACCTTTCTCCACGACCAAAAATCACATGGTAAAAGGTTTGGTGAAAGGAATGGCCATTTCTTCCAGTTCATCTTTTTAAAATTTTCAACAAGCCATGTATGGTGATCCATATAATCTGCTACTTCTGAACAGAAATTAAAGGTTATATTCCATCGCCCTATTTACCTCGTAACCATGTAAATGATAGCAACAGCAAACGATGAGACGATTACAACCGATTTAACCACCAGTTCATTTCCGTTTAATGCGCTTCGGTTCTTCAAACGTGCGTGAATAGACGATATGCAGTGGTAGGACGTCTAAAAAGAGTTCCAAAAATCTGTGGACAATAACAGCAGAAATGTGAAACATAGTCGCATGAATTCACTCAATGTTGCTCAAAGACGTAAACATAGAAGGTGAGTAACACATTTTCTGTTTCCCATATGCATAAATAATTTTTTGAATCAACCTGTAAAAATGATTCCGAGACTGGATTTTGCGAGGCAGTCGGAAAAGATCTGTTTCGAGTAGCTTCATTTAGAAAATCACTACTATGCTTAAAAAAAAAAAAAAAAAAAAAAAAAAAAAAAAAAAACCCTAAAAATTGTACTTTATGCTTTTAAATTATATGTATGATTCGAAATGCTATAATAAATAAAACTTACATACTTATCTTAATTTAAGCCATGTACAATTTTTCTGAATTCTTTTATTTTTCATGTTGAAGCTATATTTTCTTTACAGCAAAATCATCATCCTGTTGTTTCTGTTTGGAACTCGAGCTATCATTGTAGCTGTATTTCAGCTCATTTTTGTGATGACGACGGAGGTAATTTATAATATTCAATATTTTAATCTGTTTTCTTAAGCCCGACTTCGTCCTTCAACTTCCAAATACTCTGCACTCGCTTTTCCGTAATAATCACAAAATACAATAAAGAACTGTGTGCAGACATTTCAATGAAGTACTGAAAATAGGCATATAAATGAGAAAGACATACTGTATTTCCCCCTATCTTTTTACCACTTACAGGATAATACTATTACTATTAAGTTCTTACAGGATAATACTATTACTTGAAACCTTGATCATGGCAGGAGCTTTAAACAGACATTTTACAGTCTTTTTAACTGAAAATCCGAACGCGTGAATACATTTTTAGTTACTTGCACCACAGCTATTTTCCTCTGACAAGATTTATCCTATTTAACAAATGGCAGATGCATTTCATACATTGCCGTTTTGTCGTTTGGCATTCTGTTAAATGGACAAGGAAATGTATGAAATGTTAATCGTTTCATACATTGCTGGCTACTCTCTGGAACTATATTAAATGCCTAAGAATTATATAGAATACCGTCTTTCATACATTGTGAGTAACAGCGCATATACCACGTACTTAATTGTTCTTGAGTCTATAGCTAAGACTGAAAAATCATGCTGAAAACTGAAATTAATAAATCTGATTTGCTAAATAGTATGGGACAAGAAAGGCCTGCCAGTTTAGCTTAGCCCTCTATTGAGAGAAATCTTACTTTGTTAAGATAATTAATGAATATGCTTCCTTAACAGTTAGAAAACAGATATTTTTGTAACCCAAGTGCAAATAAAGTATACTGAATAATTTGCTGTTAAACATTTTACTTTAATTACAGAGGGCGACTAAACATTTTTAGAATGATTTCGGGGCAGTTTAATTATTGTTTAAAATATAGAGAGTGTTTTTTTATTGTTCGATCTGATAGCCTTTTTTCGGGGTTATAAGTCTGCATCGGGATTCCCATGATAGATGGGCTTTTCATAAAATTTCTATTCCTCTTCCCATACTTTTCAGTCTATCAATAATGATGGGTTTGTGCATAGAAAGAGCTCTTTTCAAGAGACCAGAGGCACAATAGTCCATTGGTGAATAGTCAGGGAATTTTGCAGAAATGCGTTGAAAAAGGTAATATATGCAATACCTGTATCACTCGTCCTCTTTTAAAGGAAGGCGGTGGTACTTTTCAAAATATGACCATTTTTCTTTGTCTTGATGAAGAATGTCTTGTTGAAGAAAAACTTCGAAAAACTTTGGGATAAATAAATGTAATTTTTTCTGCAAATATCAGAAGTAAAAATAATTTTTGATGGTACATTGAGTTGATTTTAACACTTTTCCCCACGCTTCTTGTTTTAAATTTCCAATTGTAAGAAAGTCCCGAAACAATCAATAACCTTTTACTGAAACTTTCTTTGTAATGACGGTATATAAAAAATAATAAACTTCCCGAATAAGCAATTAAAACACAATAAGAAAAACACAACTTCAAATGTTTAGAACAACCATTTTAATTTATTTTTAACAATGTAGTGATAACGGTGTACAAAAACTGGTAACCATGGTAACGCTTTGCGATTGCGCAGATACTCTCGCAGACGATTTTCTCAGACGATGTGCTAGCGCATTGCAGAACAAATGCAAACATTTTAAACACACCCCACCTGAACTCTGTTAAGAGTACATTGAACATTAACAAGAGATCAAATACAGCACAAATTAATAACGCAAATTAATAGGTAAAACACAAATACAAATAGTACTACATGAGCATACACTGTACTTAAGGACATTTATTATGCATAAGCCAATATTAAAGGAGAAATATCAGCTTATTTCAAGTGGATAAATTAACTGTATTGGTCTTTTATATTGCCTCTTGTTTTAATTGACAAAAACCCATCAGTAAAGTTTAAAAATTAATAAAATAACACAATAAAGGCTATTTACAGTAAGAAATAACAAAATTTAAAATGAAGACTGAGTGTGGTAAATTTCGAAGCACGGAGAAATATAACTTTCTAACTCTTAGAAAAATTATCACTATCTAACTCTTTAGAAAATGAATCATCACTCTCATCTGCGTTAGTAAAATGGTTCATTAAAACACAACTTCAGATCTTTAGAACAATCATTTTCATTTATTTTTAACAATAACAACGGTAAAGAAAAATCTGGTAACCATGGTAACGCTTCGCGACTGCACAGATACTCTCCCAGACGCGATTTTCTCAGACGATGTGCTAGCGCATCGCAGAACAAATACAAAAATTTTAAGAGACGGGAACCAGTTTTGTGCTTTTTTTTTTTTTTTTTCGTTAATAAACAGAACATTTTTGTTGCAGGCATTTCCATTAGAGTACTATAAACGCTATTGCGCTGAGCCACATGCCTCGGCAAAAGCTGGGCAACATTATTTAACGCCTATATTGTAAATCGTGGTTTGTTACTTTATTGTTTGTTGTTAGAAATGTGTTTTGCAACTGGTTTCGGCTTCGACGGATTTTCTCTTGTTACCAACGATATTTAACTTTAGAAAGATAGTACGTACAGTACGTACATTTTTCGGGTATTAATTTGAAGTCTTCTTTCCATTTAGAAATAATGAGTAATGGCTGTCTGATTAATAATGCTAATTATTTTGTACTTTGAAATTTTAATACCATGCATCTCATAAGTTTTAAATCACGGAATACGAATATTTCTCTTCGGAAAGTGCAAAAACGTTCCTTCAATTCATAGCTCGTTTATATGAAAATATAACTTCTTGATACATTATTTTGGAAGAAGAATAAATTTAAAAGTAGCAAAAAATACTCCTTCTTTTAAATAACAAACTGTTGCCAGAAAATTTAAATCCAAAACATTTGCTTTAAAAAAATGTTTAATGAAATCGTTTTAAGACTGTGTAAAAACCCTATGTACATTGTATGCGTTACACTCTATATGACATCAAATTGCTTTGGATATTATTAACTTAGGACTAATAGGAATAAACAGGAATAAAAAATAATATATAATAGCAGATATCAACGAAATATGTATTGAAAAGAATTTCATTCGGTCAAGGTGTATAATGCTTCTATTAATAAGAAAATGTTCAATAATAACTAGAAATAATGGTTGATAGGGGGAAAAACAATAAAGAAGTGGGCTTCGATATTATTTGTTTTCCGGGGTCTCCATGTCTAAAGTTACTGCCCTGGTTTCTGGTAGATAATACCAGTGTGAACTATCGTTATTAGCAAAAATTCTGAATCTTAAAAGCTTAAACTTAATAAGTAGCTTAGACTAGTGAAGCTAAATGCGGAAATAATCCATCGAAAATTTATTCTTCTTCTCTTCCCCACAGGCCTTTCCTACATCTCTCCGAGCAATAGCAATGGGCTCAGGTAGCTCCTTTTGCAGGTTGGGTGGCATGGTAATACCTTATGTGGCGCAAGTAAGTATTATGGCAAATATTTTTGTTAATATTTTAATCCTTTTTTATTGTGTTTTTTGAGTTGCTATGTTGTTGTAGTTATTTTGTATTGTTTTATTTTACTTAACAATTGTTTTCAGAATGATAATTTTAAGGTTTATTTTGTATTTAATCCAATTTATGACCACATATCTTATGTTTAAGTGCTTATTGGTTGCATAGAATTATAGATTTTTAGTTCTGAGTTCAAAAATTTTGAAATTATAAAAATAGCTCAGTTAGTATTCCAGTTACAGGCGATTTCGTTCATAAAAAGGCCTTGGCGACTGTGCGACATTTGCCTATTTCTCACCAACTTGACGATTTTCTTCAAGATTCGCGAGAACATATTTTCGAAGCATTGTGACCCATTCGCCCAGAAGTTTCCAGAGCCCATCTATCTGCGAGGTATAAATAAAGTTCGGAGAAAGGGAGAATTCAGTTTTCCGCTGTCAACAACAATGTGTGTCAACAAAAGCCGCCTAGATACATGAAGGGTCACTTGACCTTTATTCTTCCTAAAGAATAGAAGCAGATATACGGCCACTGTAAACTGGATCACGCAGTCTCATTGAAGAATGAAAATTTGCATCAGGAAAGAAGGTAAAAACTCTTTCTGAGACCGAATAAATCTGTTTGCAATGATGCTCAGACTCGTAACGTCGAATCACCAGTGAAACATGTTGCTGCAAAAGTGCAGAGTGCTCCACAACATGAACAGATTAAAACTTTGAAAAGACTGGAAATAAATGTGGAAGAAAGAAAAAATATTTATTTCAGCAAACTTATGCAGGCTGTCGAAAAATGCAACAACAGTAAAACCCCCGAATAAAAGCTTTTGCTTGTACTTAGTGTCGTAGACATGATTGCTGGAACAGAATTTTGGATCTCTACTTCCTTTTTAAGATGAATTCTCCTTCGGAATTCTCTTTTCAAAATCTCCGATTTCCCACTAGGAACTCATTTGACGAACTTTTTACTTGAAGTGATAAAGTAGTATATTTTTCTGAGCCGGACACGTCGCGCCACTCGCCATATTGGCAGCGATATTTGAATAGACAGATAGATGAGCAGTTAGTTGCGAATCCGTTGATGCAGATGATTATGATCAGTAAATGCACAAACAATAATCATCATCTTGATATCTGCATTCACATTCAGCTTAAATACAAGCACCATTCGCCAGGCACACCATAATAGTAATCCAGGTCTTTGAATTATGGGCAGCTAACGTATCTTAGCCGTAGCAATGATGATCAGCCTCCGATGGCAAATGATGATTTCGCGCCCTCTCCTGTTTGCCCAAAATGAAAAACCTTTCATTTTAAAATTTCGTAACATCAGTTTGGCACCTTCTAAAAGCTATGCCCGGCCCAAGGCCCAAGGCGATATTTCCGGAGTACCTTTGCAACTTAATGCAATTACCTCCACAACTTCGTTAAGGAAAACTGAGGTGATTAAGACAAAGCACTGGCTGAAGGGTAATGAAGGAGACCATTAAGGGTTTACAGAGAAGGAAGTCAATAAGTAGTCCGCACTATGGACGATAAATTCTTTCTGCTTTCAACGCTAGGTTGAAAGAGAGAGAGGTGATGGATAAGGCGAAGCTATGCCCGGGAACAGGCGTGGCCTTCGAGATAACATGGCCTGGTTAGCTACGAGTGACGTCACGAAAGGCGTCTGATCCTTCCGTGACTTTCTTTGGCTTCAGATTTGAATACGAGCGTTTCGTTCGATGTTTAGAGTGTTTTGTTTTTAATAATGCATAATAATTAAATTTCCAGAGACTTGACTGGAAAACGTATATAAAAGGTCGTATATTCATTTGCATTAAGATTAATAACTTAATAATATTATTTTTTAAGAATATTAACGAAATTTTCGATGCCATGTTTTAGGTTATCTTGTGCATTTTTTTTACAACTGTATTGTAATAATTTGTTAGGATACACAATTTTTGAAATAAGTAATAAAAGGCTGTTATTTATTAACATAAAAATGTCTTTACAGTTTGAGAAGGAAGGAATGAGGAATAAAGAGATTTAGAAATATAAATAATTCACTAACAAAAGTAAATATAATTTAGCAAATTAAAAGACGTAAAAAATTATTTTTCCTTAAAACTATAAATATTTCAGAGCTTCCAAACATTATACAAATGCATTTTTAATTCATTTAAATTACTATCTAATAAAATGAATAGCAGTTCAAAAGCCACAGAAAAAATTTAAATCCCCAATTTTTAAATTAAATAAATTACAATTTTGCTGCACCATTACAGAAAACGAATAACTTTCACATATTTATATGTTATCTATAGCAATAATTATAATAATATTTACATTATTACTATATGTAGCTTGCATAATAAATATATTTACAAAAAAAGCCATCATAATGTTTTCACAAAAGCGTAAAATCAATGAATTTGCCAACGAAAACAGCAAAACAACTATACATATAACAACCATCATTTCTGTCTAATTATTAGCAAATACTGTGCAAGTTGTACTAGTATACTGAAGCAATAATTAATCGCAATTGATAATTTATTTTGAAAAATTATGAAGTATTTAAAATAATAAGGAAACAGCATAAGGATTCATAAATTTAAATGTAAAGATACATTATTGAAATATATTTGAACTGCATCATATTTTAGTACACTATTTTTAAAAAATAAAACAATGTCATTTACTCTCATATCTTTTCAGCACCGTATTCTTGACTTTTTAAGTTTCCTTTCATCGATTTTTGTATGCATATTATTTTGAAGAACTTTAGTATATTGTTTTTTAAACAAATATTTGAAATGGTGCTCATTATTTTTTTAATCGCGAAAGGAAAGCCACACATTAAAAGTTTCATGAACATCAAACATTTAATGTTTTGTACATATATCTCGGTAAGTTGCCAGTAAGAATTGTTGTTTTTTTTACTTTCAACTGAACAACTCATCTCTAATAAACTGCTATATCCATATGAGCGATACAAATACTTTTCAATTTTAGATGTGGATGAACTGAGCAATAAATATAATACCAGCAGCAGATTTGTGTAAAATAATATTTGAAGTATCTGAAATATTTTCTTATTCGGTACATAGAAGAAAAATCCTCAATGATGCTATTTTGTCCTTTCTAAAAATTCTTAAAATGCTTCTCCAGTTATTCTTTTTCCTCCCGCTCATCCTCTGAGGGTTGGACTTTCAGATAAGTATTTTGACAACCAGAAACTGCATGGGTGCATCGTTATTTAATTTAGGATGCCCTCCTGGACGTCTGAATAAAATACCTTCGTTTGTTGGTAAAAATCATAGCGAATAATATCATCTTTCGAAAATGTTTTTCACACACAAAGCTGCGATCATTTGGAATAAAATTTTCCTTGGAATTTTTTTTTTTATCCATAAAATCCCGTTTACCGTATCTTTTTGAAATTGAATACTATTCATTGGTGGAAATCGTAATTGGATTTGCATGCTGGAACGCAACATGTGCAGGTATGGTGAAGACAGCTCTACATAACGTCCGATCGTTATCTTGTTAACAATAAGTTAACTATAATCTCAATTTAAAACGAAAATATCCTTACCATTACTTAAATTTAGCATAAAAAGACACGAATAATAAAAAAATACAGCACAGCACGCAATCAACGTAATAAGAAGTCTTCGCTTGCAGTGTCCACACAATGCAGTGCGAAGGGTGAAAGTTCAGACGCCTTACGTGACGTCAAATCACGTGATTCTGCAGCTGACTAGGCCATCTAATCTCGAAGGCCACGGAACAGGTCTCCACCCTAGCTATGCCACTGATACGTATAGAAAATATTCGTCAGGCACGTCAAAACAGACACTCTTCGTTGTCTGCTGAGATATTGCATATTGCGTACGCAAATATTTTTGGCATGACACTTCACAATATCTCCTAAATGTCTCACTTAAAATACTTACCGAATTTTGTAAAAAATAGACATTTATTATAAACTCAAAAAATAAAACTTAAAAGGTTCAAATGTCGCCCAGACGGTATAGTGGTTAGGGAAGCCTACTATGGTACCGAAGGACTCCGGGTTTGAATCCCGGAGAAGACATGGATGTTTGCAAATGTTATAGTGTCGGTGCGGCATTGCGGCACTCTAAATATGCGGCGAGTGGAAAATCCTCTCGTCTGAATTGGTGGGACAGGAGAGGGGTGGAAGACACCCGGGGTGCCCCCCCTCAAAATTGGGGTTGGAAAATAGAAGTCGAATTTCTCTTCGGAGTAGGCTCTGGCAACCATTGTTCCATGAAATGTGGACACGACAACAACAGCAAAGTTTCAAATTAAACGTATTTCACTATTTTTTCCAGATATGAAGTAAAAATTAGAACTTATGCTAATATATTCAGATCTTCCGCGCGAAAACTTTTTTCCCAGTGTGCATGCATATATATTAACGAACAAATACTGAATTTTATGTATAATTAAGAGAATATCTCGACTATTTTTCTTTCATTTAGGTGCTTGTGATCGAAAATCCTGTTGGTGCAGTATCTTTGCTGGGAGGCTGCATATTGTTAGCTGCAGTGGCGGCGTATTTCCTTCCTTTAGAAACAAGAGGAGCAGAAATGAAGGTAAATTACCCCCCCCCTTTTTTTTTTTTTGATACTCTTATGCCGGGCTGTCGCTGTAAAATACGCGACGTAGCCGGCTCGATGATATACTTATCCCAGAATGGGCAAATGACGTTGAACTGTCTGGACAGGTAAGTGGGCGGAGTCGGAGATGGAAAGAGGGAGGTGACAGCAGGACGTCATAGGTAGAGGTGCATGGACCTTATAAGAAGATATCTCTTATAAGGTCCATGTAGAGGAGGGACTTCTGACTTGATCATAAGGCGCATCCAGCAGAAGAGTCCATCAGGTGGCGCTATCCATCGGAATCTATGGAACTACAAGATAAAACTAGTAAAATCATCTACCGAGAAAAAGGAGAAATTACAAGTCCATTTTCAGCATTTGCTCTACCATTCCCAGAGCAAGTAGAAATTTTTCTTGCGGAGATTCAATTTTCTTGCATTTTTGCATAAATTCTAAGAATTTGAGAGCAATCAACTGTAGACTCTCATCGATCGTAATGGTGAATGGGCTGGCTGTATGAGTATTTCCGTGATTTTCCCCGTGTGTAACATAGATACAAGCCAGTTTTCCTTACAAAGTTTTTTCCATGGATATTTCCTCCTTTTCCATGCAGAGCCTAATGGCGAAACACATAGTTAATAATCAGACAAATGTTCTCAGCAGTGGCCGACAGATTAAGATCGCTGCATACTGGTAGTTCGACCTTGCCTGGGTTTAAACCCAGGCGAACCGGCTGGCTACATGGTTTGTTTTCGTGGATTTCCTCATGTGTAACGTGAATACGAGCCAGTTTCTTTTAAAAAGTTCCTCCACGAAAGCACCTCTCCTCTAAGCAGATACCAGTCAGTCTCCTTAATTTCCACAAGGCATTTCTCCCTTTCCATGCAGTGCTTAATGGCGAAACACATAGTAAATAATCAAACAAATGTCCTGAGCAGTGGCCGAGTGATTAAGACCGCTGAATACTGGTAGTTCGACCTTGCCTGGGTTAAAACCCAAAAGAACGGGTTGGCTGCATGGTTTCTCTTCGTGGATTTCCTCATGTGTAATGTGAATACGAGCGAGTTCCTTTAAAAAATTCCTCCACGAAAGCACCTCTCCTCCAAGCAGGCAGCCCTCCTGTCTTTGTCATATTCATATAATCTAACCCAACCTAATTTAACCAGTAATGCAATAATACGGAATAGTGAGAAGCTTAAGGGTTGCCCGCTGTCCCTAGAACGGAAAACAAATGGTGGCGAAGACTGGAGGGTTAGAAGCATTCAGGATTAGAGTTAAAATTAGTCTTGAATCCGAAAGTGAGCTCACCAGAAAGGCGATTCTCCTAGGGAGGGGACGGATTCTAATTATGGTACTTCGTTACATTTTTTCCTATAGCAAAAAAAAAAAAATGCGGGGGGGGGTCACGTTAAGAATTTAAAATAAAATGGAGGTTAGATTTTTACCTCAAACCCTACCTGTTTCTGTATTTATTAAAGAAATTAAAACTTTTTAGAGAAACTTTAAGGATGATGGGTGAGAGCGACAGTTTTAGCTCCACATCAGAAAAATCAAAGATCCGGCGCTGCTTGCCTAAATGATCCTTATTTTGCACTTGCCATCAAGCTTCTGATTCGCTTGTTCAAAGCATGTGACGACGACTCTTATTCTCCCTCTCAGGAACTTCGCTTTGTGCTCACTTACCCCCGCTTCAATTCCAGTATATCTTGAAGTTGTTAATGATCTAAGCTCGGATCATTTACCTGTAATGGCCACACTTGGAATCCTAAAAAACAAAATGACGCAGGAAAAAAAGATTACAGACTGGAAGCAGTATAATCTGATTTTAAGTAATAATACTGCCCTGAACACAGCTTTAAGAACCAAGCAGACTAACCTTTTACTAACCGTATCATTAATGCAGTCAATAACATTAACTAAAACAGGTTTACCTAAAGCCGGCAAGGTTACCACTCGCCCAGAAGGATTTAGACCTATCAGTTTGCTTCCCGTTTTGGGGAAAATTTTTGAACGCATCATTTATCATAGAATCCATCCATACTTAGAGAAACTACCAGAAGAACAGTTTGGTTTCCGGAAAACGCTTTCCACCACGAAACAATTGGTCAGACTTTCTGAGTTCACCGGCAGTACGTTACGTAACAGACAAAATGTTGCTTTTCTCATGCTAGACGTGGCCAAAGCCTTTGACCGCGTCTGGCATGAGGGTCTAATTTTCAAGCTCCGTTCCCTTGGCTTCACCAAAACTTTAACGTGTCTCATCTACTCATTCCTGAAAGGGCAGAAGTTTTCATGTTTCTATTGGAAATGAGATTTCTGAAGTCAAAAGAATTCACGCCGGCGTCCCGCAAGGGTCAATTTTAGGTCCGATCTTATATCTCTTCTTATGACTGACTTCCCTAAAACAGGCTTTAACTACAATTACTTCATTGGCTGTTATGCAGATGATACGGCGCTTGCTGTAAAATCTATGTGTCCTAATCAAGCTGTCAGGAAACTTCAACAAGTCATGCCGCAAATAGAATTTTGGTGTACCAAATGGCGTATTTCAATTAACGCAGATAAATCCAAACTGCTCATTATCCGAAAGAAGAACTCTGCCACTGAAATCACAGAAAAGCTTAAGCTATTTGACACAGAAGTTCCTAGAGTACGCAAGGCGAATTACCTTGGCGTTATTATTAATGATAAATTTTCCTGGAAGGATCACCTGACTCAACACAAGGAGTCATTCAGAGTCTTAACCCACTTATTAACGAGCACTCTAAACTGGACTTAAGAAGAAAACGGCACTTATACATCTCTGTTATACGGCCAATCTTCACGTACGCATTCCCTGCGTGGGCATCAGTTAGAGACAGGGACATATCTAAATTACAAATTACACAGAACAAGTTGCTGCGCACCTTCACGAATGCGCATTATTTCGTATCTAATAGGACTTTACACAAGGATTTGAAAATTGAAAACTGTCATAGAGCATCTTCATCGCTTAAACTCCAAATTTTTCCTTTTTCCAGAAAGCAGTTACATGCCCTCACATGACAAAATTACATGTATTTGACTACATTCCACTACCGGAAGATAAAGAGTTACGACCGCTGGCAGCCCACCTAGCCAGAGATCTGAACTTTCCTACATAAAGTAGAATATTCCTGTATATATTTGTATATATTGTATATAGCTTTTATGAATACTTTTCTCATTATTTCATCGAAACTTCTATATGATATTCTGATCTTCCAAACTGCATTTTGTCACTGTAACTCTATATTTGCAAATGTATGCTTTGAGAGTTTGTATTCTTTACAAACTCGTTCTGTCATGTAGTATACTCTCACAGTAGCTTATCATAAAAATTCATGATTGCTTTACCTTGCACTGCTCCGTCTGCGGGGCATCTTCTTGTCTGGCCTAATTCCTAGGCTTGCGGCATCTTGCTCGCCCCCCTTCTGCCCCACCTCATTCTCTTAACTCCTACCACGTCAGACTTCCTACCGTCATGTGCCTACTGGCTCTCCTCATGAGCTGGAAACAGCGCTCTTCGCGCGCTACTCCAGCCATATTTGTTCGGATCGGATCGATTTGTGCTGAAGTTTTTGGTTCCTCTTACTATCAACAGAGGGCGTCACCTCTTCGGCCAGTTCAGCCGATTCTTTCTAGTTCTCAAACCATTAATATGTACCTTTCATATTATATTTTTTTGGATGTGAAGAGTACGTAGCTAAATAAAAGACTGACTGTATTCACTTTATGAAACTATGGAATATACATCCCTCCCCATGGGCTAAAAGATAGCAAAACGATTAATTTAATCGATGTTACAGCTTAGAAACTTGTATTATTTTATAGAAATTTATTTGTATTGTTATATATTATATAACATAGTATTATTTCAAAATAATAATTTTCAGCAAAATAAAAGCCAGTGTACTTTACTCAATATCCTAGACAACGGCGCACCAGCCACAAATTCTTAGAGTTATGGAATCAGTTCGAAGGATTCATTCTTCGCGAATGAAGATCAAAAGGTTTAGTCGAATTGCGTGTAACCTCATCTATTTACGAGGAATGTAAAGTTTTACCTCGGTATGCGTCAATTTTGAAATACGCCTTACTTGGCGTAGGTCCTGTGTGGACGCGAAAATTTTTTTATTTGGTGCACTATTCGAGATCAATGAATCACAACTGCGCGCACTACACCTGTTCTCCTCTTTCGAGACAATGCCACGGCTGCCCATGAGCCTGTTGCTAGTATTCAGTAAACAATTTGCACTATAACAATTTTCAAGTGATAAGGTGTGTGTTTGTGTTTTTTTGCTAAAATAATTTTGTAAATTCATTAACTATGTGTATAAGGAAAGTCACTAAGAAGAGGTGAACAACGAAGAAAATAGTTTAGGATCACGAGAGAAGTGAAATAAAAAGAAAAAAAAATGTTGATGTATAAAGAATGAGTAACCAGGACGCATAATTCACAAGTGCGCATCTGTATCGCCACTGAGGGAGGAGTTTCATAAATGGACCAATGAGCTTCTATTGCTCTTTTGACATTGAATCTTTGAAACTGCGCATATAAGCGCATGCTGTCGTTTACGTTCTATTTTGCATTTGTTTCGAAGTTGTAAAAAGTATAGCGTATAAATGCTGCTATCATTTTAGTAGAAAATCTCATAGTACTTTTATAAGTTTACCTACTTTCGCGAAACTTATCACGCACTGATATTCGGATTAATGATTGTGCAGATCCCGGATCTAGCGGGGGGCAAGCCGGGATTATTGCCCTGGGCGGCAAGTTCAAATATAACGCTAGATCGTATTTGATATGTTGTTTGCTAAAACAGCTCTCTAATTTTAGTACAATGTCAATACACTGATGTGCCACTGAATTAGGGATAGACATGGCTATACAAATTTTATAGCGCTCCGCGGCATTTGTGCTCACGTGAGGAAGTTCTGGTAATGCACATACCGGTAGTACTATGGTTGTTGTTAATCAGTTGTTTCAATTACCAGGATGGGTAAAACTTCTGATTTAGACAGTTTCAATATCGAATAAATAGTAAGCACTTGACGAATGGGCCATTCAATTTCCAAAATCCTCAGCGGGCTAGGATTTTCAGGATCGACAGTGTCAAGAGTATACCGAGAATACAGGAATGGTCGGAAAAAAAACTAGCGATCGGGCAAATTGCAAAGGACAGTTAACCTAGAACAAGCGTAGTGTGAGACGGCTCAGCCGTATTGTACATAGTTAACGAAGCCACACATTAGCTCAAATTACCACTCCGCGAATCAGGGCTACAGTCGTACAGTCAGTAAAAGGATCGTGCAACGCTCGCTTCACCATATGGGCTTCGGGAACCGTAGACCCACGAGAGTACCATTGCTTAATGTATGCCATCGAGCTGCACGTCTTGCATGAGCAAGATAAGTTAGATAATGGACTCTAGAGTACTAGAAAGGAATAGCGTGGAATGATGAGTATCGATTCCGATTACTTAACACAGACATATCACTCACATAGAAATGGAGTATTCCAGCAAGATAACTACATCCTCACAGGTCCCGGTTGGATGAGCATTCCTTTGAGACTTTTCTGTAAACTAATAAATTGGCTACCTAGAAGCTCTGACTTAATTCCTACTGAGCACATTTCGAATATTTTGGAGATAAGTGTGAAACCACATCACACACCACTAGCGACCATTCTTGAATTATGGACACCTCTATCCGAAGTTTGGCAAGTACAATGCTTCCATCTATGCTTCGTCGTTTTTCAGCCATTATAAATGTCAGAGGAGGCCCGACTCGTTATTGACTACCTATCCCTAATTCAGTGGCACTTCAGTGTAGTTTAAGGCCAAGTTTAAAAACCTCTTCTAAGAAGATTTCTAATTAAATACTAAAAACCCTTTTAAAGGAACATGAGTTAAAATAAAATTAAGTACAGCCGATTACAACTATAAATATAAGATCAGAAAGAGACCAATAGAGGGACTCCAGACGTAAATGATAGAATCAGACTGACCCTATCAGTTACATCTGGAGTCCCTCTATCGTTTCCTGTCTGGGCGGGGTGTATTCAAATGAGAAATAGAATGATAGCTTGTTGAAGAATTCGCCTGGTTTTCATAGCAACGTCTGCTGGGAAATGGAGAAGCATTGTAACTAAGAGCTAACCCAAAAAATTAACCTTGGGCCATCCTGGACAAATAAAATAATTCGATTTAATATTCGTCGAGTATATACAAGACACCGTCAATATGTCTTCAAGATGAAGCAAGGCATTTAGATTTTTTTGCAGTCCCTCGGCAACTTAGGTTCACCTTTGGTTTGACTCGGAACAAGAGCGCATTTTAGATTTTAAAGCTAGATTTATTTTTTATCCTTTTTTTTAAGTCTCTTCTGTACTCTTTTTTTTCCCTCTCTTTTTTCTTAGATATGCTTGCTTTCAATAGCCAGAACTATATTTAGCGAGACGCGACCATTTATTTAGGACTGTTGAGTGTAATTACGTCAATGCTTAGTTATTCTTATTAAGGCAATTCGTAGTGTATTTCATTTAGATTAAAAGAAACCATCTGTGCTCCGAGTGGGAGAAAAGCGGAGTATAGAAAATGAGCCAAAGATAAGGCCAAACAGAGAAAATAAATTTCAGCTAAGATGAAAAAATAACTTTACGGAAGAAGTAAACTGTGAGACCCTGCCGCAATTCCGATTATGCTGAGATTCTAGAAGGTATGAATATTTCTTGCAATCTGCGTGACAAAACATGACTGCATATATCATCCTCAAACAATCGATAAGTCAGCATTTGAAAGAACAACCTTCTTCATCGACATTAAACGAATAGCTGAAAGACATGAAACCATGATATAAAGATCTCTTTATTTAGATGGGAGCGGGCAGCAGAAAGACGAAAAACTAAAAATTTTAGATTTTTTGGACCCCATGCAGTTGGCTGGTCATAGAAAAAAATGAACGATTACCAACAATCTTTCTTAAGCAGTCAGTCAGTATTATTCGCCGGTAAATATCCAGAAAAGGTAAACCTCAGTCCCATTGAACGTGATGGCAGACATTTCACATGTAATACAGAACATTAGTAAATAATGAAAAGCTTAGACGATTTTGGTTTAAGAATGCAATTTTTTGTACACCCTGCAAGATTTATCAGAAACATGGTGCTGCCGCCACACCATACTACAGGATTCATTCATTGGAAAAGAGTTTTAGCAAGATTAACTGAGCATGAAGTGTCTGGAATCGACAGAGGTGCATGATTAAGTGCAAAATTCGAGTACATCAAATGAAATCGTGCCAAGGCATCGACCACGACGCTTAGCGACTCATTTACACAGAGAAAGAAAAATGGAGAGAAATTCTATATAATCATGGATACGGTAATGTATCTTTCAACAAACTGTCGTTCTTTTCTTGGGTCTGATGAAATTCCAAGTAGTCTGTTCACAAAATGTCCACGACCTAGCGAAGGAAATTTTCTGAATTTAAAATCTCTCCGCTTGCCAAACATAATTCAACTCTTAAGTACCAGTCAAAGCACCTAACAATGGGAAAGGAATCATATTTATCAAAGATAATTCAATATGAAGTTATTAATTTAAAGGCAAAACTGTCTGAAGTAGCATTTTAAACGATATTAAAGAAGTCAAATACTACACAATAATGCTCGATTGCACTCCATATGTTTCTCATACAGTAAACATTAAGCAGGTGATTCAATATGTAAAAATGTATGGTGATGTGCGTGAGATAAAGGAAAATTTAATTGATTTCACTGAAGTTGGTGGAAAGATGGGAGAATGTATTTCTGAACACATTATAGAAAATTAGTGTCTTAATTAACACTTGATGGTTTAGCCATTGGACAATGTTGGTGTCAGTCTTACGACAACGGGTCTAATATGGCTGGCATTTCTAAAACAGTACAAGCTAGAATTACAGAAATGAATAAGCTAGATGAATTTGGGCCATGTTTGGCTCACTCCTCGTATCTTGTCGGTGTGCATTCTGCTCCTTCGGGCTCGGAAGCTGTTAATCTCTTTGGAATTACTCAGAAAATACTTCGCTTTTTTGTCGGATGCACTACTCAATGGTATATTATGTAAAAGAGTACAAAATACAGCTTAAAAGGAAGCAGCCGGACGAGATGGTCGGCAAAATATGTGGATGTGAAAGTCTTTCTAATGAATTTACCGGAAGTATAAAAAATATTTAAAAGAAATTCAAGATATTTCTCTTGATGCGGAATCAAAGCACGAGGTAGGACATGTGGTACATGCTGTGGAAAATTTTGAATTTATTATATCAACCTGAAAATTAGAGCTAATATTTTTCCAGAATTCCATCGAGTAAATATAGAAATTCAAAAGGAATCCCTCTTCCGTGTTCTGTGTAGTTAATGAAAGAACTGACGAATTATAAAAAATGAGAGCAAAAACCTATAGAATATTGGAAACAAGAGTAAAACAGTGGCCGAAAAAATTGCAGTTCAGTCTATTCTAATAAAGAATTCCAAAGCACAAAAAGCAATCTGATGAACTATTTGAGGACGAATCACGAACATCGTTCAGATCGAAGTTTCAGCAAAATAAAACATATTTAAAAAATATCTGCGATCATCGGTGAGCTAGGAGCGCTTATCAAGTTTTGCGATTCTTACAACCGAAAATCAAACCGTGGATCAAATTGTGACGACTGCATGCACTTAGTTGCAGAACAAAAGGCTTACTTAAAATTTTAATTTTCGTTACTAATTCCGTGATATTTTAATAGCGTTAAGGCAGGTAAGAATTTAAAATTATTTATGAAATAGGAAATATGAAAAACAAGACAGGAAGCACGAATACTCTCAGTAATAGCCCATATTTTGTATGCAATGGCCCCCGTTAGTGGCTGAGCAATAAGAGCCGCTGAGCACTAATAGTTCAGTCCGAGGGTCGAGTATATGTGAATGAGTGTATGAGCATTTCTGTGACTTTCCCCGTGTGTAACATATACAGGCTAGTTTCCCTTACAAATTTTTTTCCACTTTCCTCCTTTTCCAGGCAGTGCCTAATGGCGAAACATATAGTAAATAATCAGACAAATCCGCTGAATACTGGTAGTTCGACCTTGCCTGGGTTCAAACCCAGGAAAACGGGCTGGCTGCATGGTTTGTTTTCGTTGATTTCCTCATGTGTAACGTGAATACGAGCCAGTTTCCTTTAAAAAGTTCCTACACGAAAGCACCATCTCTCTAAGCAGATAGCCATCCTGTTTTTGACATATTCATATAATCTAATCTAACCTAATTTAACCAGTATGAAATAATACGGAATAGTGAGAAGCTTAGGAGATGTCCGTTCTCCCTAGAGCGGAAAAACGAATGGTGGCGAGGACTGGAGGATTAGTTAGGATTAGGATTGTATCCGACATTAAGCTCACCAGAAAGGCGATTCTCCTAGAAGGGGACGATTTTCTAATTATGTGACTTTGGTACGTATTTTTCCTTTATATATATATGTATGTAAGATATAACAAAAATGATAGCTGTTCAAAAAAGAATTGGCGACTTCAAAATTAACATATTAAATTTGGTGATCTGCCCCTAAATTCATCTCTTCTCAGAGGTTCCACATTTTTCTATCTTACGTAACGTTTTAATGCAGATGCCTCTTCTCCAATCAAATTAATTGTAAACCAAAAATCTGAACTGAAATTTCTTCCTCTGAACTGAAACTTCCCACTTCCAATCTTCTTCCTCTGAAGTTCTATAATTTTTCCCTCTTTCCCGCATAAGCGCTCCTGCCGGCAAGAAGCTTTTTATGTATGCTGCTGCCGCTTACTTGCTTAAAACAACGTCGTCTTCAAAATGCAACTTACTGTATTCAAATATAATTAGAAAACATCTTGTATGAAAAGGATGTTTTGATACGCGTAAAAAAAATAAAGATTGTGAGTTTTCCAGATACGTTGTGCTAAATTACGTCATCATGCTTTCCACTCTGCCACTTTCAACCCACTACGGTCTTCTCGGTCATCTACGCAGTATCTAAGCTGTTAAAAGCTCCACTGTCTTCATCTACGCATTTTAAAATATTTATAAAAAGTCAAGACAGGATTAACCTGGTGCAAGTTTTCCCCAATGGATATCTAACTCTGCTGCTTCAACTTCTAGTGAATCATCAAATTCGTTTCCGGTGTGTGATTTAACGGCATATTTAAAAAGTGCTTTGAAAATCATCGAGTATCTATCTGTAAGTTGAAAATCGAAATGAAAAGTATTTCGAATCAAGGTCAGTGTCGCCAACGTAGTGAAATATGGTTACTGGTTCTAGCTCGCTTCGAATATTCTTAATGCATTTCCGATCATCGCGTAAAAAGAAAAACATCCAAAGTGCTTTGAAGGTCAGCAACCTCATGAGTGAAATAGTGTTTTGGTGCACATTTTGCGTTTTTCAGTGCTCTTATTCAAAGAATGAAATATTATCAAAAGTTATTAATGTGATATTGAAGTGGTATGAAGTTCCAAATGGAGTAAATTGCGTTTTTAAAACGACTTTGCATTATAAGTAATTTTGCATTTATAAGTAATTGCATTGTGTTATGAGTTTAATATTTTGCTTAAATCATTTTAAGATCAAAGTTAATAATTCAAAAATATTATGATTTATTTAAAATGTAGTTTCGTTAGGAAAGATGTAAGATATATAAGATGTAAGATATAAAAAAAGTATAGATCGCGATTTTTCTAGAACTGTTACATAACCTTCTCATATAAATGCTGCGTCATAAGTTTTCCTACACAGATGCCTTCTCGTCTTTGTCCTGCTAACATCTCCGCTATGCTCCTCTTTCTTTTTTTAGAACGCATTACAATTTACAATCAGTCGTATTGCAATTACTGACTAAGTAATTTGATTAACTTCATCTGGAAAAAATCATCTGCTCTAAATTAAAATAAAGATATGCTGTTTAAAAGTGAAAAGTCCGGAGTCGTCATTTTTCTCCGTGCTTCAATCATCCCAGCTTCGTTCAACCATCTGCCAAAACGTGTAATGGAATAGCCTCACCATTCACCCACGATGTGTTGGAATAACTGAAATATTACATGTATGTATAAAGTACGTAAAGAATTGAGTACAAAATGGAGCTTAGTTTTTTTTACCTCAAACCGTATCTATTTTTGTATTTATTAAACAAATTAAAACTTGTTAGAGAAAAAGGATGATGGGCTAGGGCGGCAGTTTTAGCTTTTGCCCCACATCAGAAAAATCAAAGATACGACACTGTGTTCGTGGCATATTATCTCTTTTTATATTGTTGGGTGCATACGGGTTCGTTACGACATGAATGCACAAGTCCGATGAAAAATGAAGAAAATTTATTATTATCACAACAAATGTGATTGAATGTCCTCAAATAATCGTGCAGTATGACAATATATCACAGTAGTTATCTTTAACTACTCAAACGTTCAAAAGAACTTAATTTAAAACAGCTAAAGAAAGCTAATCCGCGAATTCGCTACGATCAACAAGAGCAGTTTTCTAAACAAACTCTTAAAACAACAACAATCTAACTAATGTACAGGAACTTTTTTTTTATTTATTTATTTCTGATTCACCTCAGGTATACAACTACTTTGAGTTTTGACCTGTTCAATCTGTGCAGCCTATAAAGGCCATTCAAGGTTTTTAGAGTACATTAAGGTGCTACTGCACCTCACCCGGGGGCGTGACATTAGAACAAGGTGCAATCATTCCGTGGCGAAGTCAAGCTGAATATACGAAAATTGGGAAATTAGTACTTGGAAAACAAAATCATCCAGCATTCAAGTCCATGCATGATGCATTCGGTCAGGATAGTAGCGTAAGGTTACTGAGATAGGGTGCGCAGTCCAGCAGGTAATCAGGAGTAGAACCACAGCAGTGGGCGTGGTGAGATCACACAGAATACACAGTCCTTAACACATATAATTAATTCAGAGTCTCTAGCCTGCTTCCAGGCAAATAGCCAATTTTGGCAGTAACACAGTACTTGGTTAAATAAGGTTAGATAGAGCACAAAACACAACTTCATATGTACACTATTTACATATTTACATCACCACCGCGCATTATGGTGAATTGACCGAGGTCTCTTCACCACGCTGTCCACCGTAGGGTCATAATTACCGAGTTCTCTTAGCGTGTGCACTGGAGAATTATCCATTTTTTCGAAGAAGTTGTGCGCCTCCATGAGGATTTGTTCAGGAATGGGCTTTATTTTCAAGTCTGCA